GAGGGACAGACGCCCAGCCCCGGGGGGCACTCACCGGTGGGGAGGCCAGATGCGAGGTGGAGCTGCTGCTGGAGCTGCTGCCGGAGCCCGAGCTGGGGTACGAGGGTACAGGCACAGGCGGGGCTGTGGGGAACAGAACAGGTCAGGTCGGAACGCTCTCCATCGCTGTGGACAGCTACCCCTAACACAGAGGAGCCCAGGGACGGCACCCCGAAACCTGCTGTACCCATCGGCTGAGCCCACGGTGACCCAAGGCTGCAGGAGGTGAGGAGCCGGTATCCCCAACCTCCCAGGCAGGGGCCACAGCCCACAGGGACTCACACTTCTTCACGGAGGCGCTGGCATCAAGGAAAGGGTGATGGAAAAATTCATCTGCAGGAGACGGGAGAGGTGAGTGAGGCCTCAGGGGGACCCCCAGCCCAGAGTTGCCGGGGCAAAGGATCTCCTGGGCCTGAGCCCCAGCGGGCGGCTCTTGGACACAGCTGGCCCCACCTGGCCCCCCACTGCTCAGCAGAGCTTCCTGCTGTCAAACCGGGGGTCTCTCAGCCTGTACTGTGGGGAAAGGAGCTGCAGGCGCCGGACCCACTCCCGACCCCCGAGGGGCCCTGGAGAGCTGGGCAGTAGCTCTCCCCCCGGTGGGGGAGGCAGGTGGCCAGCGGGTGGGCGCTCACCAAAGTCCATGCGGTCCCTGTGGTTCCTCTGCAGCAGGGCCAGGAGCAGCTGCCTCAGGGGGGCCGAGGTCTCCCGTGGGATGCTGGGGAGGGGCACAGGCCGGCGTCAGCCAGGGCGGGTCCTCAGGGAGGGGCCGAGGCTGGGGCTGGGGCACTTACATGGGCACTAGCGTCTTGTTCTTCTCGTAGAAGAGGCGGAGGTCCTGGGGGCTGCTGGCCTGTGGGGGGGTGGGGACAACAGCGTGAGTGCCCACTGCACTGGGCAGCCGCTGCATTCCGTGAGGTTGCTTGGCCAGGACAGTGCTTCCTCACACACTTCCGGGGACAGAGCTGCCCTCCTTCCCAACAGGCTGTGCAGCGCAGGGACCACATAAGGGCGGCCAGGCTCTGCCTGAAGAGGCAAACGGCTTGGGGGACTGGTTGTTTGCTTCTGGAAATTGAAGACTTGCCCATGCACCCCACCTCTGAAAAGAGCCCCAGAAAGAGCTCGCCACTGCCAGTGGGCAGTGCCCCTGTGAGGAGACCTGGCCCGTGCGAGGCCGTCCACCTGTTTACTCGCTGGGCGCTGCCATATGCCAGATACTGGGGACAGCCAAGAGCAAGGCAGCACCCCGCCCTCCGGGGCCGCTGTGCCAGTGGGGATAGCCCTCCAATGCTGATGCAGAGGAAACAGCAGACGGGGTGAGGTGAGCTGGCAACAGCCCAGCCACCAGTCAGACCAGGAGGTCACGACAGGAAGCACAGGCCCACAGGATGGGAGTCCCACCCCAGGGCCTGGGACACTGACGACAATTCTGTGGGTCACACTAGCATTGGAATGGGCAGGTGGGAGGCCACGAAGTTGGCGCGGACGTACACATGGACACACGCAGACACGCGCCGGAACCGAGACACTCTGGCCTTGGCCCTGAAGCGACTGCATGGTGGGGAGCTGGGAGGCCACCTCACCCGAGTGAGGGAAGGCTGCAGACAGTAACGAGTGGTGGCTGTGCTGACCCAGAGCCGAGCAGCAGCCCACCTTGGGCCTGCGCGCGCTCACCTGGAAGGGCGCCTTCCCCGTCAGGCACTGGTACACGATGGTGCCTATGCTCCAGAGATCCGCCTTCCCATCGTAGTGCTGCGACATGATGACTTCAGGGGCCTGCAGGGGTGAGAACATGGGTCAGAGCCCTGGCAGAATGGGCACTGAGTGCACTGTCACCCTTAGATGCGCTGGGAAGTGGTGGTGCAGCCACGCTGGCCAACCGCCCCCTCCCCGCCCCCAGGTGAGGCTACAGGGTAGGGCCAGCGCCAGTGCCGCTCCCACCGGGCAGCAGGGTGGGAGCCACCACCTACCATGTACATGGGGGAGCCGCAGAGTGTGGCCGCCATCATGTTGCTCTGCAGGTACCGGGCAAAGCCGAAGTCAGCTGCAGGCGAGAACACGTGTGAGCAGGGCGGCCACGGCCCTGCCTCCCAGCGCCCCACCGGCCCACAGCCTCACCGATCTTGACCCGGATGTGGTTGGGGTTGGCGCGGCGCCCGCCGGGGTTGGACAGCAAGATGTTCTGGGGCTTCAGGTCCCGGTGGATGATGCCCTTGCTGTGCAGGAGCCGCATGGCACCCGCGATCTGCTGCAGGAAGAGCCTGATGGTGTCCTCGCTCAGTGTCCGCATGGCTGTGGAAGGACGGGGCTCGGGGGTCACGGCTCAGCCGGGCAACCTGGGCGCAGGCGGGGCCTCCCCCCGGTTCTGCTCCCACACCACCCCCCGTAAGCCGTGAGGGGACCTGCTTCCCTCCGAAAGCCTGTGGTCTCCAGGGCCCTCACTCACACCACAGGCATGTGCTCCTGTCCACCCCAAGGTCGCCCTGGGCCGCCCATCTGCTGCTGGCCCTGCTGGCCCCTTCCACTCCCACGTCACCCGCCCAACTCCAACCTGCCCAGTGGCACCTCCCCGCCGGGCAGCTCCCTGCTCCTCTCTCAGTTTATGATCACGTCTCAGCAGCTACTCAAGGCGCACAGACCCTCAAGGAGTGAGGGTTGAACAAACTGATGAGGGATGCACTGCCCGCCTCCCCCCCCCACGCCCGCCCCCTGCAGTGAGGCAGCTGCACCTGGGGCTCAGAGTGCTCAGGATGAGTTTGCACCCAGCAGTGCAGCCACCAGGTACCTTGGGGACTCTGCAGGCCCCACTCAATAGGAGCACTTCCAGACTGACTGCCCGCAAGGCTATCCCTGATGGTGCTGACTGCCCTCCCCCCACCCATTTCCCACCTTTCCTAGATGCCACCAGAGGACCGGAGGCTCTTCCATGCCGGCCCACCTCATAGGCTGGGTCAGGGCGGGCCTGGTCATGCGGCCCCCGGGCCACGGGGTGTCCACTTACTGTGCAGATAATCAGCCAGGTCCCCGCCGTTACAGTACTGCAAAAGAGCAGCAACACGCCCTCCTCAGCGGCCAGGCCAGACCCTCCAGCCCTGCCCAGGTCTCCCCACCATCCTATGTCTAATCCCTGGCACTCGGGTGCTCCCACTCCTCCCTGGGGCAGTTGTCCCTTACAATCCATGCTTGAAGAGGCCACCAGGGTGCAGTGCAGTGGCCCTAAGCCCACGGACACAGTGCAGCCTGCCCTGTCCCAGGTGACAATGGGTCTAACACAGCGGTTCTCAACCTTCCTAATGCCGCGACCCCTTAATATAGTTCCTCATGTTGTGGTGACCCCCAACCATAAAATTATTTTCGTTGCTACTCTATAACTGTAATTTTGCTACTGTTATGAATCATAAAGTAAATATCTTTTTGTTTTCCGATGGCTTTAGGCGACCCCTGTGAAAAGGTCATTTGACCCCCAAGTTGAGAACCGCTGGTGTAACAGCTGGGAGGGTCCAGGCTCCCTGTCCTTACAGCCAGGCCTGCAGGGACTCACCTCCATCACCAGGTAGACAGAATTGGCCATTTCCTGCAGGACACAGAAGAGGCAGTGAGAGGTGGAGGGGAGCATGCGCTGCCCCCCATTCCGCCAGCCCTCTGAAGAGCCCTCTCAGCCCTAGTGTGACCTGGGTGCTTGGCACCCACAGGTACCCTTAACACCCCACCTGGGCTACAGGCAGGAGTGCCAGTGAGCTGCCCTAGCAGCCTGGGCCCATGTGCCAGGGCTTTGCTGGCTGGTTAGTGGCTGGGAGATGCGGATGTCTGACAGCCAAGTGGGCTCTGGCATTTTGTTTCAGTTTTGAGTCATTTGCATGTGGCTTGTGTGACAGGAGCAGCAGCCAATCAGAACATTCACTTGCCAAGTCTGGGAAAGGGGCTGAGGTCCCAGGAGAGGTGTCAGGGGCAGGGTGTGGACCCTGCCTCCCAGTGGTGGACCTCGGCTGCCCAGTTCTCTGTCAAGGTCAGGGTCACACCAACCAGGCCCTGAGGTTTCATCAGGGCTTAGCTTGCTGTCATGAGTGGCGAGTCCTGGCTGGGTGGACCCACTTAGGGAAATCCAGGCCCCCCGAGAAGGGACATGGCCAGGTGTGAGGGCCTTGACCCTCAGGCTGTGGAGACGGCAGGGCTCCTGGCTCTGGAATGGACACCAACAGAATTATAGGTCGGCACCGCCAGGCCAGCTTCCAGCTCGGCCCTTGGCCACCAATGGCTTAGGGGTACCCCCAGCATCCTCAGCTCAGTCCAGCCCCATGAGATGGAGCAGTGTGGTGCCCAGACTAGCGCACAGACCACCCCCCACCAGCACACACACACAAGGCCCTGCGCCACCGAAGGGCTTCGCCGGGCACCAGGGCGCTTCCTCCTTGAGGCAACCAGTGCTATCTCCAGGTCACGGAGGGGTAAACTGAGGCCCAAGAAGCCATGTCCAACAGGCAGGCGGGGTCCGAGCCTCTCCGCTCTCCTGCCAACGTCCCCACAACTATTCCTCAGGTGGGGTTTTCCCTAACTGAGGGGGGGCTCTGCCAGCTGGGAAACAGGAGGCCCAGCATCCATAGCGCTCTGTTCCACAGGCCGCTCCAGCTTCTAACTCTCAAGGTAAGGGGGAGGCCTGTGAACAGGGCCCCAAAGCTAGCAAAGCGTCGGGGCCCGGAGAGGTCCAGGGGAGGGCAGAGGGACGGGGCTGAGGGGGGATGTTTCTTGGCGGCCTTTGGGGGTGACCTAACGCCTAGCAGTGGGCTACCACCTTCCACCCCTGCTCAGATCCCAGAGATGGCCCTGATCCCCGCCTGGCAGGGGGTCAGGGCCTGGCCTCAGACCCACATCCAGTGGGCGAGGAGCAGGGACACAAAGCCACTGGTGACATTGTGTTAATGTTAAATGTCAGCCCCCCAAAACAAGAGAAGCCCCCTGATGCCCCCAGGGCTCCACCAATAGAGGGGGTTGTGTCTGGGGCGGGGACACCTCTGGGAGCAGGTTGAGATGTAGGGTGTGCTTTCAGGGTGTGAGGCTGACACTGAAACCCCTTGGGGCCAGGCTGGGCGCCCCTGGCACAGGCAGGTCTGCTCCAGCATGCCCCACCCGGTGTTCCAGGCTCTTCACTAGGGGCGTGTCCCAGCAAGGACGCAGAAGCCATCCATGGTGCCTGTAGGGGCTCGCCTGGGTGAGGCTGGGGGGTGGGCTCCATCCACAAAGGCGGGCCTTGGCCCAGCCCCCCTGGACTGGAGTCCCACGCAGCAGTGAGAGCCTGGGAGCCCCCCTCAGCCCCGCCTGCCAGCCGAACCTTCCAGGCCAGCTGCCAGGGAGAGATAACACAAGGGCAGTACGTTAGAGCCCCCCGTCACGCAGGGACCTGCAGGGCAGGCCCAGGCTCCAGGAGCAGGGGACAGAGAGCATAACAGAGGAGATCAGGATGGAGGGACACTCTGACAGCTAGGAGGGGAGTTGGAGGCTCTCAGGCAGAGGACCCAGCAGAGTAGAGGGAGGTGCCAGAGATAAAGACCCAGAAATAACCCAGGGGATCGCAACACCCACTCCGTGTGACACCCAGGCCACCTGCTCCCTCGCCTGCCATCACCCTGACCATGGCCGTCTCCGCTGAGGTGCTGAGCGTGCTCCCTAGTCCACCCCAGTGGGCCCCAGGCGACACTGTGAACACTCTTGTTATGAGAGGCCCAGAGAGGCTGAGCCACTGGCCCTGGGCCACACAGCCAGAGGGTCAGAGTAGGGGTTCAGGCCTTGGCACCGGCAGCTCTTGCCTGTCCTCTGATAGTCTGCTCCCCAGGAAAGCCCCAAACTCGCCCACCAAGCCCAGATGGGCAGGGACAGACACAGAGTCCATCCCCCCCGGGAGTCATCCCTGAGAATGGGCAGAGAGGCCCACAGCACTGAGGGCTGCCGGCTGGGAGGTGCAGACCACTGCCCTGCTTCCTTTCCCTCTAAATCCAGGAACACCCCTGGAACCCAGGACAACCTCCCCCAGAAGGAGGTCTCTGTGGTACAAGTGACAACGGAGTCCCCTTTGTGTGCAAGAACCCAAGGGGGTCCCCGCACAGGGCCTGGCCCCCACCAACCCCCAGAGCCCCACTCCAGCCAGGGCGAGCTCCCAAGACTCCACCCCACAGGTCCCTGGCCCTGCCCACCCCCACCCACTGGCTCACTGCTCCTAGAACTCCCCACTCAGGCCCTGGCCCACAGAGGTCAACGCTTGTCACCTCCACGAGGCGAACCTGAAGCCTTTCTGGGGCCTCACAGCCCTGCAGGGAGCAGGAGACCAGAGAGGTTCTCAGCTATGTGGGGCTGTGGGGTCTGAGCTCCTGTCCTACCGCTGATCTCTGTCCCTCAGCCCCAGTGGGTCACTCAGCAGAGACCTCGGGCATCCCCTGCCCTGGGCCCAGCAGGACCTCCCACGGGTGGAGGGTCAGGGTTTCAGAGGCAGCACAGCATTCAGGCCTGGGAGACCCAGGAGACCCACTGCCCTGGGGAAGACAGACAGGTCCCTTCTGGCTGGGGCTGTCACCCCTCCTGGCTGTGCCCTGGGCCCTCGGAGGCCCTTTGTGTGCACGAACTCCACCAGCCCAGAGGCCTAGGCTGCTTTGCAGAGGAGATACGGAAACTCGTCCAGGGCTAGGAGTGGGGCTGCTCCGGTGCGTCCTCACCCCTCCACCTGCCCCTCGCCAACACCAAGCCAGGTCCCAGAAAAGCCTGGCAGGGACCAGGAGAACATGGGACCCAACCACAAGGCCAGCAGCATCTGCTGGCTGGCTGGAGAGCTTTAGCAGGGAGGCTGCGTACCCAGGCCCCTCCCCCCTGCCAGGGCCTGGTGCCCCATCCACCTGGGGCCAGGCAGTCACTGCACCACATGGCTGGGTGTCCTCTCTCCCTGGGAAGCGGGCTGAGTCCCCTGGTGGGGAGGGAGAGGTCAGCACAGCCTCGGTGGCCACAACTGCCCTGCCCTGCCTGCCCGTGGCCCACCCAGAACCCAGACAAGTCTCAGGTCCCACTTCCACTGCTCCTGCCAGCGCTGCCTTTGGTTTTCACAAGCTCCCCTGGGGAGTAAGTGGGAACCAAGTGGGCCACACACACTAAGCTACCACACCCCCCCTTGGGAGTCAGTCTAGACTCAGTGTAGACACTTGAAAGGACCAGGCCTTCTTCCTGGGACTCCTAATGGCCACCGGATCCCAGAGAGGGCTCACCTCCGGGGAGAGTCAGACACCCTCGTCCCCAGGTGGCAGGCTCTGTCACGTCGTAGGTGAGCATGGAGGCAGCTGAGGCATGGGCCCACCAGGCCCTGTGAACACTCCGGGCCCCGCCCCCAGCACTGCGACCCTAGGACGAGACAGGCCAACCTCGCAGCCTGTTCAAGGGGAGGAAATGGGCAGAGAGAGGTCCTGCAGTTCTGCCCTCTCACACAGCTGGTGAGGGAGGGATGGAGCTGGGCTGGGAGCCTGAGTCCTGACCATCAGCTGTGTAGCCCCCCAGGACGGGGTGACGAGGTGCGGGCCCTCGGGCCCTGCGGCAGGGCCCTGGCGTCCAGGCACGTAGGAGGCTGCAGGCCCGGACCCTCCTAAGGAGCTTTGCTTAATAGGATCCCAGCTCTCCCCTCAGCTGAGCCCACTGTCTGGCGATCCTGGTCTGGTCTGGTGGGTGGGCAGGTGCTGACCCAGTTAACGCCTGAGGAGCTGGCCATCTTAGCTTCAGAAGGTGGCAAAAGCCACAGGCCAGGAGGGACAGAGCAGTGCCTGCCCCCAGGCTGGGCTCCCCTGACAGCTCCCCTGGGGGCTGGCCGCCCGGCACGCCCTCTCCAGCCCCGCTTCCCACACACGGGCCTGTCCGGCTCCAGAAAAGCAGGCACCACTGTCACGGGGGGGGGGGGGGGGCATGAGCTGGGGCCACCCCTCGGAAAACACAGAACCTACACATTCCTCGAGACCCACGGGGCCCAGGCCGGGCATACCCCAGAACTCCGCAGACTGGATGCACACAGACGTTTGCCGCAGCTCTGTCCCGGACACCACCGTCCAGGGACGCCCACGACACAGCTTCCCCATGTAATGCTGAGGGGATGTACTGTACGTGTGCAGGGCTCCAGCGTGGTGGACGAGCAGGAAGAAAGTCCCCACAAAGGGCAGAACAGGGGTCCCTGACTGGGAGGAAATGGGGCCAGGCTTCTGGGGGTAACCAAGCTATGGTTCTTACACAGGGGCCGCTTGAGCAAGCATTTTGTCACCTGCGTTCTGCCCTGTCCGCTATGCATTCTACTTCAAAATTTTAATTTAAAGAAACAGCTAAAATAGCAACAACTTTGCAGGCCATCTCCAGAACTGTCTGGACTCTGGGCCCACGTGCAGGCTCCTGCCTTGGACCTGGTACCAGGGGCTTCAGCACTGCCTGTACCCCGTCCTTCCCAGGGAGGGGTGACGTCCCCACTCCCCCGCCTGAGTCACAGGCCCCCTCACCAACAGCAGGGGTCTGGAAAGAGCAAGGCCAAGGGCTGACACTGTCTACGGCAGAGCGTTCCCACGCCCT